GAGAGAGAGAGAGAGAGAGAGAGAGAGAGAGAGAGAGAGAGAGAGAGAGAGAGAGAGAGAGAGAGAGAGAGGATGAATACCCATAACGTGGCTGTTTCTAGTACAATTGTCTTTCTGGTGACAGTGTGACACCTTAATTTCCCAACTTCGGTATATACGGTTTACCAGGAAGCTCTGTTTGACGATACATAGTGCTCATCATGATACTTGAGCTCTAAAAAAAATGAAAGTGAAACAGGTCCTTATGCGCTTGGCTCCATGTCCATTCTGCTGAGCATCAGTCCGTTTCCTGGTATTTGAGGTCTGAATCTTCTGATCTAAGGGCAACAATAATCTACTAACCGATTGTGGAAAATGAGAATGAATTTGCCGCTAGAACATGGAAAGATACACCGCGGCCATTGTTTTGTCTTTTCTGCACGTGATGAGTAGTGCAGCGAGGCCCTGAGGCTTGCCTTTCTCCCCCCCCCTCTCCTTGTTGTCTATTGTTTGCACCAGAGGTGGATGCACTACAACTGCCTAATATGCTAATTTAACCTCACCCTCTCACTTCTAGTGATACTCTACTCTCCCTCAACCCTTAGACAAAGGGTGTTTCCCTCTGCCAGTGGATGATGTTTTTGGAAACCTAGGCGCCGATGACAGACAAAGACACACCTTTGAAATATGTAATACGTATTACGGCAAGGCCCTAAGTCTTGTCATTCCCTCCCCCCCCCTCCCTCCCCTCCTCCTGTCCTCGTTGTCTATTGTTTGCACCAGAGGTGGATGCAATACAACTGCTCAGAGAGCAAGCAGGTGGGCAAGGTCAGGAACTACCAGATGATGTTTTTCGAAACGTCAGCGCCAAGGAAAGAAAAAGACAAACCTTAGAAAACTACGGAATACGTTTTGTCAAGTTGACGAAGAACGTGGCAGTTACGGGAAGAGAGGGTGGTCAACGTGGAGACTTGGCCGTGGATGACAACGAAATTGCAATGCCATTGACGTACGTAGGTGGCGGTGCGAAAAGGCAGCCTGCAATGAATACTGCTCAGACAAATCGACAGGACTCAGAGAATCTCCACATCAGCAACAATAACACAGTGCCACCTATAATGCAGTTGTCCAGCGTTCATCGCAAGCAGGCGCGTGCTCGGCCGGTTTTGAAGGGTGGGCACCCTTGCAAAGATTTTCGCATGCAGCAGCCACAATTGGACAAAAAAAGGACAGGACCTCGACGTAAGTGGAACCCTTTCCTCCCCTTTCCTCTCCTTTTCACTCTTCCCTCCCCTTTCCCGTGCCCCTCCCCCTCCCTGTGCCCCTCCCCCTCTCCCCCCCCGGGCTCAACCTCCTCCCTCCTGCCTTCCATTCCCTGCCTCGTCACCACACTTTTCTGTCCCAGAATGATTTATTCCATTCATAAAAGTCTAGCAGGACTTGAGCTCAGGTCTGTATTTCAACTTTTCAACTGAGGTAGGCCCGTTGGTGTTTTTTTCTTCCCCTTGGGTCCGTAAATTGCATTGTTTACACAATCATTATGACTTAAGAGTGATCATTTTTGTTTTTTGTTTACTATGTGTAATAGTGTATTGAAAATTTTATTCATCAAACTTTTTTTGAAAAATGAAGATGCTTTAGAATGAGGGCAGTTCATATAACCCATATGGCGTGAAGAGCGAAGTTCTCACAGCTCTTAATAATATTATTATGTGAAAATGGTCATCCAGAAGTAATATGTTTTAGGTCAGGGAGTTTTTCTTTCCCTTTGCCGAATTTTGATTTTAGGTAGATGGCCCTGTCAATGCACATAAAGATAACTGAGTATGTTGCGAAGATCGCACCATCTCAACTGTCTCACTGTCACAAGAACACTTAGTATGTCTCCAGATTTAAGCACCTAAAAAAACATGCCACTTCATGGCCCCGTTCCTTAGGACATTCATGGACTCTCGATGATCTGAACAGTACATAGAATGCGAAGATGGCGATGCCAATTCACACAAGGATAAATATGTTGCGAAGATTGGAGTACCTCTACTTTCACACTGTCACAAGAAGACTTAGTATGTCTCTGGATTTAAGCACCTCAACTGTCACAAGTACTAGGCAAGAGTGGGATCATCCATGTAATTTTAATCCAATTTTAAAGGAAGAAGGGTTGGCCCGAGAAATACCCCAACTCAGTGGGGTGTAAGAAGAATAACTTGAAGAAAAGGCAATGCTTTTGAATACGTTAGTTTGACTAAACGTTAGTGTGACTACGCAGTGATGTGGCGCAATTGCGAAGTAAAAAGAAAAAGTAAAAAAATCAGAAGGGCAGGCCGTGGGAACGAAACGTGTGCCTCCCTTTTGAAAATTGCGACTGCACATAAAAAAATATAATCTGGGGCCACATCGTACTCCTTATTGGGTTAAATCCCTTTTCCAAAGGTCCCCTGCAAAGAATGAGCGGCTATGTGACACCCGCGGCCTAGGCCGTGGGCAATGCGGCCGCCGCGGCCGCCAGGCCTAGTTTGCGGCCCGATATTTTTGATATTTTTTTGGAGGTCGAAAAATAACTTGAAAAAAAGGGGGTTGTAGGGTTTTGAAAACCCTACAACCCCATATAATGTTTTTTTGAATTTGACTTCATTTAGGGTTTATAAAAAATGAAAAACGAAAATCGGTTAAAAAGAGAAAATAAAAATAAATAAAAGAAAAGCAGGATTTTTTTTTTTTCATTTTTTTCGTGACTGATATGGAGTCAAGAGTCCTAAAACTTTTGCCAAGGTAATTGCTTTCTTCTTCTTCTTCTTATGTCCTGTTTGATTGATTGATTGATTAGAAAGAAAAAAAAAAATGAAGCGTGTGTGTGTGTGTGTGTGTGTGTGTGTGTGTGTGTGTGTGTGTGTGCGCGCGTGTGTGTGTATGTGTGTGTGTGTGTGTGTGTGTGTGTGTGTGTGTGTTTGTGTATGTGTATGTGTGTGTGTGTTTGTTTGTTTGTGTGTGTGTGTGTGTGCGCGTTTGTGTTTGTGCACGTGTGTGTGTGATGTGTGTGTGCGTGTGTGTGCGCGGGTGCCGGGGGGAGGGGAGCGAGGACCCCTCTGCCACCGATCGATCAATCAATCAATCAACCAATCAACCAATCAATCAATCAATCAACCAATCAATCAATCAACCAATCAATCCATCCATCAATCAATCAATCAAAAAAAACATCAATCAATCAATATTTTTTTTTCTTCTATTTCTTTATTTTTTTTATCACACACCAAAATCCACGCCCCCAAATTTTTACATTTTTTTTTCGTACTGGGTGATAGTGGTCGACGTGCGCCGGCGGCGCGCGTGTGCCGTTTTTCCGCGCGCGCCCCCATCTGGCCCTGGCACGGCCGCACACAAACTCGGCCGCGCGGCCTCGGTCACGGGCCCGCGGCCGGCCTCCTCGGCCGCGGCCGAGAGGAACACATAGATGAGCGGGGATCCCATTCACTTGGAAGAATGGTTATTGAACTGCTGGAGAAACACGAACAGGCCAGCAATATATTCTGGATTCAGATTCAGGTCTATGTTCCAAGAGTTATGGGTTACGAACTTACTCCAAACGTTACAGTAGTTGTCTTGTTTTTTTTGTTTTTCCTTTTCTTACGTGCAGTGGCCCTAAGGCCCTCGCTCCACTCATCACCACCTGCACAAAAGAAAACCATATGGCTTGTATGGTTCCAGTTTCTAGGAGAAGATTGATTTAGTTTTGCACATTTGGTGAGTAGTGGAGTGAAGCCCTGAAAATCACATGCCGAGTTAGTAAGTCAGTAACCCATAACTGCTGAAACACGGATGTTTTGAACCTGGTTGCTTGTTGTCAGAAGACCAACACTCACTCACATAGACTTCGAGGTATGCCCATACATACACAAAAGGAAGGGGAGAGGATGGAGTATCACATCTCACAGGGGGAGATAAGCACAGCGGAAGACTTGTCCATGCGATATGACCGAAAACATTGAAAGTGCAATTCGTTCAACAAAATCCTCACAACCAGTCACAAAGGAGAAGCCGAGTAGATAACATCCAGAAAACAATGAAGCAATGATAGTCCAAACACAGTATGCACAATGTTTATTAAACCACCAGTACCTTCCCCAGTGTTGGGAAAATACGAGATGCTGGCCAGTACCCGAAGTTTTCGGGGGTCGGACAGAGGGTCGGCAATGTCCCAAAAGTCGTATTTTTATTTTTGCCCGTGCACGAAAGGGAAAGGAAAAAAAACGGGCCTTTGTACTGCAATTATGTCGTGCAGGGCTGTCTAGGAGACCGCACTCACAGTCTTGCATGCATCTTACAGCAAAGACGGTCACGTTCTCAAACTTGTTGTTTTCTTTTTTTTCTTTTGTATTTGTTTGTTATGAGTACCCTGCCAACGAGGCAGGGCGGAATCCGTGATCTGCTGTAGTATTGTTTCCTCATATGATTGTAACACTGATGTACCCAGCCGTTTTCAAGGCCGAATCCATGTTTTTTTTTTTTTTTCTCGTTTTCATTTTCTGGACTCTGACAATCTGAATCCGTGATCTGCTCGAGCTGTGTTCCCTCAGAGGATTGTAACCCTGATCACACTGGCACTTACGGGAATGTATCTTGCCATTTTCACGGCCGAATCCATGTTTTTGTCTTTTTTTTTTTTTTTGAGTTTTTGAAATCTGACAACCTGGCCGTGGGGCTGAGATGCCCTCACTGAGGGCACACTCACACTTACACTTCCGATAATGTATAAAGCTGCAATCACGCCCAGAGCTTTTTTTTTTTTTTTTTTGTTCTTCCCATGAGAGTACCATAAAGAAATGGAGTGGGACCCAGGCTCGGCAAAACTCGGAGTGCAGTGAAATCCAGGGTTGGCAAAAACAGGGTCGGAGGTACTGGTGGTTTAAGTCTCAAAATGTTAGAATAACCCAAGAAACATGGTGTGAGCAGTTGAGCAGCGCTTCACACCCGAACCCTGAGTAACCACTAGTACTACCCTTGAGTCCCTGAAACATCAAGCGCCACCCAGGTACCTTGAAACAGGCCTCAGAGGCCAAGCGCCTCTTAGAGGATGAAGAAGAAGAACAGCACCACAGTATCTGATGATGATGAAGTGCCTGAAGACTTCCCGGGTGGAAGTCTGTAGCAGTGCCAGCTCGCCTGACAAAGAGGATATCCGAGGGAGTAAGCTGCAGCTGCAGCGCCACACACCCTGATAACCTAATCCTGAGGAGGGTTCAGCAGGGCACCAACTTCTCTTGCCTCCAACAGACTCCAGATAGCGTAGACCTCTGAACAGCCCTGCGTGCTGTCAGAGAACAGCGCAGGTCCCAGCTATGGCCGATGCTTCGCAGGTCTGGCTATGTCCGTCTTCCCCCAACGCTGAAGCTGTCACCACTCCAATTCATGCATTGCACAACAGCGACGTACTCGGTACCAACTGCCTAGAGCCCCGATTCGTTTTCCCTAAATCTATTCATACTCTACCCTAGCCTAGACACGACCTAGAATGGATTGGTAGGAGTGACTGGTACAATTTCAGTTTCGGCCTCTAGGGCCGCTCCCTACCCGACTAAAGGCTATAGGACCATCTATCAGCATAGGCCTTTAAAGCCTGTCTGTCCTAGGGGTAGCCCGGGCCTGCTATTAGCAGTTAGGGTAGCTGTAGGGAATTTGGTTAGTGCGGGCCTATAATTTCCCTGAATTTGCAGATATGTCCTCAAGAATTTCCTCACAGTCAGTTGTCGCGGTTAGCCCTCAGCCAAAAAAAATTACGGATCTGACCTACCTATGGTACAGCCTCGAGTCGATGGGCTACAGGCCACCAAAACCAGCAAGTCATTGCAGACCTACCCTCCCCTGGAGCGAGGACCTCTGAGCTAGGGACGTAGGCGTGCAGAGCGTCAAAGGGGTTCCCCCTTCAAAGCTGCCTCATATTTGTGGTCAATAGACTTTGCGGTTTTAAGAAGTTCCTTGCGAGTCAACCAGCGGTCTTCAGTGTGCGGTTGGTAGGAAAACTTCACAAGGTATTGTTTATCTGGATCTGTGCCTATTTCATCCTCGATTGATTCCACCTCATATCCCTTGCCAAGGATCGGGGGACCGAACCGATGGGGCCTGTCAGGAAAGGCATCAACTGATGTACACGACAACAACTTAGATGCATGAAAGACAGGGTAGGTTTATAGATGCAGAGGGACATCCGTAACATAGGATGGTTCAAAGAGATCAACTCCCAC